ACCCCCCCCCCCCCCCCCCCCCAGACTACATTCTGATTCTCATGCAGGGGCTTAATGATGAACGTTTGCAATCAGATTTACAGACTAACAAGCCCTCTCCCCTACATGACCAGCTTACTTGATTTATTTTGATTGGTGTACTGGGGCTAATGAAAAAAAGTAACACTTCACCCCACCCCAAAGCATAATGACATCGTCAAACTGGTGCAACAGAGGACATACCACCCTAGCTTACACTGTTTGGGTAAAAGTAATCTAGCTAGAGAATCTGCTCTTTCATATAAAGAGCAAAACATTTACTAGTAACTGAGTAAAAACTATCATATTGTTCCTTACTGGTCATGTTGAGTGCGAAAACTCTCCATTTCTAGTAAGCAGTCGACCTTTCGAAAAAAGAATGCATAAGATGGAATGCTGAAGATAGAATGCTGGGATGTGAAAACACCATATTGTGATGACAGGTTATCAAAAGGATGGCAAACAAAGTTGTGCTATTAATCTCAGACTATGGTAATGACTCTATCTTTTCAATGGGCAAAAATTATCAATCTTTCAGGTCCATAATTTTATAATCACAAAAATTCTATTTCTTCACAGCACTTGTGGTGCATGGAATAGAATGACAAAATTTTGTTGCTACCACCCAATAAGTATGTCCAAATTTTGAGAAAGTTTTTCCCATAGAAAAGTTTGAGTAATTACCATATTCATCATCCTTTGTCATTTCCAGCTGTCCTTATTGATTATACAATTACATACATGTGGAATCTGCTCTCTATGCTATAAAGAGATATCCGTAGTACCAGCATGCCGAGACCACCAATTAGTGCTGAATTTTCAAAGATTTTTTGTACATACAGGGAAAGTACTGTACATACAGGGAATCACGGGTCATTCTGATAAAATATATCAACTGGATCATATTTAAAACTGATCTTAAAACTGATGTAGAGTGGGTGGGGGGGGGGTATGATTTTTTACCGCATTATCAATGATTTGTAACCTAATAATTCTTCTTGCTGAAATTTTGAAGGTTAAAAGGACTCAGATAAATAGGCCAAGTAAACAATGGAATGGTCAGAGAAGCAGTTCAATATTAATCCATTTATTTCAAGGTGACCTCGAATCATTGTCATTTGTGGCTATAGGACTTTTTCTCTAAGTACTAAATATACAAATTACCCGAGTCAAGGATTTATGAAAATGACCTTCCTCCCTGATTAAAACATCCACACCTTTAACAATATGTTGAGTTTAAGGAAAATGAGAAAAAAAATTCACCAATTACCTCATCACTGATGAGGCATGAACAAATGAATTTTGGTTGATACCAAAAGATAATATTATGTTATCATCATCTGAGGTATCCTTCTTAAGAAAATGAGAATAAATACTAGTTATCAGTTTGTTCAACGCTAAACAGTACATGTGCCTCTAAACATGGAGAAAATCAAAATCATTCGGCCATGATAAGCATAATCTACAATTACCCTAGATATCCAGCAGTGAACGTGTTTCATGAAGCGAACTACTCACATGATAGGCAAATTGCAACAATCCCAAATAGTGGGTTTAGGATGATAGAAACCCAGGCAAACACAATGTAGGATTTTGGCCTCTTCAGGCGTCCTCCCTTCACCGGGTAGTGTGTTGGCTTCTCATAAGGGGAAGTTGGTTTTTCAGTGCTGTTATCAACAACTTCTTTGTCACCCGAGGTACTCATCTTTGAACCAGACACTGTGTTTTTCTATTCAATCCTACACCTTTTAAGCCTTTAAATTTGGAGCAAGACAAAATGTACGCCTTCCACCATGAACTATAGCTGGCAACTGCCCTACTTATCCTACAAAGCTTATATAGATATGAGAGGCCAAGGGTTTACAAATACTTACATGATAAGCAAATTGCGACAATCCCAAAAAGGGGGTTAAGGATGATCGAAATCCAGGCGAACACAATGTAGGATTTTGGCCTCTTCAAGCGTCCCCCTTTCACAGGGTAGTGGGTTGGTTTCTCGTAAGCAGAAGTTGTCTGTTTATAAGGAGGAGCGTAAGGCTCATCAATGTCTGAGATTTTCACATCCTCGAGTTTTCGGGCCTCCACGCTGTCACTCGTCACCTGGAGGTGTGTCCTCTCGTCCACATGGTCCTCGTGGTCGCTTGCTGCGTGATTTTTCTCCAGGTTTTCAGGCATCTGAATGCATTCATCTTTACCAGATACCTGGGAATATTTGACGTTGCCATTCTGTACCGCATCGTCTTTTCCTGTGCTAACTTCACTCATTGTGTATCCTTTCTTGATTTGATAGTTTCTGAAATGAATATTTTTAAGTGGTTTTATTCCAGTGCATGATCTCTTCTGATTGTGGGTTAAAAACGGAAGCTTTTCTTATTGTGCTTAAATGAAAATGGAAATAATTCTTATAGTTTATTTACAACATCTATCACACTTTTTTCAATATTATGGCGTAATGGAAGTGCATTCATTAGAATTTTGAAAATTATGACAAAGACTGTTTCATATTTCATATCTAGACTATGTTTCACTTAAAATCATTTTCATAATCAACTTAATATAAAAGCCTTAGAGTGTATTTTAAATGCATAATGACATACTAGTACATAAGTATTCTCCGTATGATTGATTTAAAATAATTACAGGTGCAGTTTCATTGCTTTTCTCATTTGTATACAACACATGATGTAATTGGAAACTTTATGCATTGAATGAGTCTCACATACAGTTCCTACACAAAAGGAATTTAAGAAGCTGCCCATATCCTCAGCACATTTTTTTTCTAACTAAATTAAGGCAATGAATTTGGCAATGGTCACATAACTTGATAAGTATACATAACATAAAACTGTTCAACAACTCAGTTAACTTGCTGTCACTGAACTGGTACTTAGCTGAAGTCTCCTCGACTCCTGTTATCTGTTTACAAATAACAAACCCTTGCAGATGAGAGTGTGTTTTTAGGCTTGTCCTTTTCACACTGCACTGTGCAGTTTCCTGTTTCGCAACATTTTGAGAGATTTACAAAATTCATAGCCTGGCTATTGCGTAAGAATCATCTACAAGACCTGTCAACTTGTTCGGCCTGGTCAAAATGTTGTGATATGGACAAGTATACAGCACGATGTGAGTGGACATTTGACTAGATTTTTTATTTAAAGCAAACATGCATCTGAAACTCAGGGCTACAGTAACTTGGCTCAGATAAAGCACAAAAGGCCTCGCATTAACTCTAGATAATGATATCTGCAACCGAGTCGATTATTTCTGGCCAAAGTAGGTCAGACAATATCAACAAAATAAGTGATATGAAATAATAAAATGACATTAATCAAACAGTATCATTTAGATTTGTGTGCTTCTCTGGTATATTTTATTGATCAGTCATGCATTAAAATGTTATAAAAACATTGGATTTCCAGGAGAAAACTGGTGATAAATCAATTTTGGACACAGTTGTAGTACAGTCAAATAAGATGACGAAATCCAGTTCTGTATGTCAACATTACCTTAAGTACAACATAATCTCAGATGTCTTGCAAGATAAATTGTAAAATATAATTCCTTGATAAATATATGACAATATCTCAGTCATAAATTGCACTGGGGCATTCCCCATTATATTATCCTTCAATATCTCTTCAAATACAATAAAAGAGAAAAAATTGCTCCTCATATGTGACTTTGGTCAGCTGTCATATGTGGAATCTATTTCGTCCAGCCTGAGTAAATTTAAAGTTCTAAACAGAATTTTTTCTGATTCTCAATCTCTTACTAGTAATATAATTAAGTGTATAAATATACTTCAAGTCCATTATTACCCCCCCCCCCCTCAATCCACAAAAAATTTGACTGGTTGAGATAATTCCAAGTCTTTATAACATCATTTCCACATATGTGAGAGCACATACATGAGAAGTAGTCATTATCCAGTCTGAAGATAAACATTTTAAGGTAATGTGTACCTAGGATTAGCCTCCTTTGTTTGCACTGTGCCAGTAAAAGATTAAGTGAATCTTGCAAATAAAGTTTTGCATGGCTACCTCTGTAAAAAAACATCAATCCGAAATGTCTGATGTGAACTTTATTTCCAAGTGGCTTGTAGCATATATTCTTCCGTGTCAGTGATTTAACTGCACTGCCGCAGGGTAGATAGTAGCAATTGCTTGCTATATTTTGTTGCTCTGGAGTATGACTTTTATTTTTTAAGTACTTCAGGGCTGTATTTTGGCAAATCTGTTACTTACAAACCTTCAAGAATACCAACTTGCATGAACAATTGTACTTTCGTGAAAAGATACAAGAAATTCTATATCCCAACATTTCTTGTTTTTTTTTTTTTTGTTTTTTTGTTTTTTTTTTTTACCAGTGTGTTTTGTTTTGCATGGCTACTCTCGTTAGTATGCATAGATACTCATCAGACCATACCAGGCACAACATGACAGACGCAGAGCAGTGCTGCCTATTTACTTAAAATATCAGCACCAAATCATAAAGATGGAAAATATGAGTTTTGATAAACTATTGATTCCTAATTTTTTGAGATTTCACCTAATTTTTCATGTGTTATCCTTATTAAGGGCATTAAATATTTGATGTCTCACAGAAAATTTGCGAATGAAATTAATTTTGAGTGTCATATCCCAAAAATAAGAATTCTTTCTCAATGCAATTTTTCACATTTTTCAAAATGAACACTCTATAAAATCATGAATTTACATATTACAGCTAAATCTTTTATAAATCCCAAGCCCTGAAATCTCTTTTTTATCAAAAATTGTTACTTATGGTCGATTTTAACAGTTGAAAATGTTATGTCCAAGGCACAAATACCACGACATCCATCATGACCACAGCTGCACACTATTTACTGTGTTTTTCTGGTTTGTGCTGCCATTATTTATTTTTATTTTTTATTTTTTGTTGTGGTGCAACACAAATGACATGCAACACTCCAATATATCTGTTGTTCATATAGCTCAATATTATAATTCAGTCTGGCAACTTGGCTCAATGATTTGATAAGACAATTGCATCTGGACATTTCTTGATATGAAACAGTGCATGAAAATGCCTGCAATAGAAGTACTGTTTAAAATCCTCCACATCCACGTACTACTTAAATAACTAGCAACCAATGAAGGACCAAAATCTGAAATATTCTGGTTTTCTAAAAGTATACTTTACATGTGTACTAAAAGTACACTGTAATATGACTGTCAGTTAATGGGCAATTAAGACAAATTATTTTTTTACTTTACATATGGCCTAGTAAAATTGGGAATGGAGATGCTGTGTTATATATAATAGAAAAATACCCATCACAAGATATCATAAAGAAAAACATAGTTAATACATTAACATAAAATTAAATAGAAGCAGTAATTATGTGGAAGTAAGTGTGTGTGTGTGTGTGGTGGGGAATGGTATAGTGTCATAAAAAACTACATACATTTAGAAGTTGCTTTTATGATCACTCCACCTGGCATATTCAGTCCACTTTATCTTCTTGGTGGTTATAAAAGGTTTGTTTTACAGCAGCAGGTGCAGATGTCAAATAAAATGCTAACAAATTAAATTCTTGTCCTAAATAAATGTCACTTGGTGCAAAAAAAGGCTGAGGGCAACTCCATATTTGATTTCACTGAGTTCTTTGTCTTTTCAGATATAGATCTATCTAAAATGGTGATATTTCTACAGCACACGACTAATTATCATACATTCGTATCACTGTCACCAATATCACCACATCAAGTTTGCCCAAGTTAAACATCGTATTTAACAAAGAAAACGCAAATTGTGTCACTGCTGTAGACCATTTATTATGGTTCGAAGACAACACGGTCATTTCAGTCAGCGTAAAATGAAGCCATATCCCAGCTACCGTTCCTTCGTGGATTTACTAAATACCTCCACATTATAACATACACATACTGGTGGAGTAAGTAACTACAACTTAAATTTGGTGCTCGTAAATGATCAACTCCAAGTTGACCTGACATTTACGTTCAGTGACGTAAATCTGGCGTCGTAAATGTACACAACTCTTCAAAAAACGCTGAAAATCACGACCATTATGTTTGTAGATCTAACATCAAGTTGAATCACAAAATATAACTATTAATTTTACACGGAGTACCTACCGCTTCTTTTTACTTGTTTCTTCAGTGATTGTAAGTCGTTTCTTTGTCCCAAATATAAATCCTGAACGCAGAATGTTGCGCAAATTTCCAAATTTCCGTCTGACTCACCACAGGAAGTTTATAAGTCATCCAAGGTTACGCATGCGCAGAGCTACAAATGAGGATTGGGTAAATTTCCTGACGTTCACGATCTTGTTTAAGAATTAAACTGCTAATCTTTTAAAATTTAAATCTGACCGTGCTGATGGCATACCCAATCTTTTGTCACTTAAATTTAGCAATACCAATTACTTTCTAACTCTAAACGCATATGTTATGGGTATATTACCCTGTAGCATGTAAAGTAGGCGAAATTACCAATGGTGTAGGCTACTAATGTACCAGTAGGGGCCTAATTAAGTGTAATAGAAAATGTCATTTCATACCAGTAGAATGTATTCATATCCATCCCATTTCATTATTAAAAACGATCTCAAAACGATTAAAGGGCTCGAATAAAAGTACCTGATGTCCTATTTCCGCTTAAAATGTTCACGAAATTGGCTTAAGTGACGGTCAGTTATTTAAAAGTAGGCTAATTTAAATTAAATTATTTGATAAGTAGTGCATGCACATGTGCTGGCTCCAGTAGGCCTATAGCCTAAAAACATCCAAACAAAGTGCAGAGACGGACCGGGTTATGATTCGTAATTTAGAGAATTTTTTTTTTTTTTTTTTAGAAAAGTTCAATTTGGGGAGAGAAGGGATATCAGTGTGACAGGAACAGGCCTATATTGGTAGTCCGCTAGGCAGGCTAGTCCGTTCCCCATTTCTTTGTACAATGTGCAGGTGACATTCTTCCTATACAATATCCCCAATAGGCCTACATGTACTCCGACTAACCCTAACTGTGATGGACTTCCATTCTTAGGACCCTTCATAAATCATTCTAAATACATATAAGGGCGTTCTTTGATGTAGAACAACAGACAGACTCATCATCATTAACCTTATTAATGCTTTTGTACCCGAAGGCGCAGCACTAACACGCCCATAACTAGATCGCAGATTGGCCAACGGTTTCTGCTAAATCCTTTACCAGATGTAAACTCTAAACGCGAGGCAAATACACTGTACATGTACTGTATGTGTCTATTCTTTTATTTGGCAGCATCGTTTTCTCTTCAGTATTAATATTTTCTCCACATTATAAAAATAATAATAATAAGAATTATTATTATTATTATTATTATTATTAAAGTTGTTATCGTTGTTGTTAGCGCCCAGGTGTACATATCAACGACATATCCTGGGTCCTTGTAACTAGGTAAAGCGGATACAGTCCACTCCAGATAAACAGTTTAAGTCAAGCGGATGTGCACCTAACCGGGATATGTCGTAACACATGCTACACATGTACCTGTAGGTGCGCCTCTCTCTCTCTCTCTCTCTCTCACACACACACACACACACACATACAAACACTCTCACTTTCTCTCTTTACTCTTACCATTCCGTCTTTTGCTCGTCGACGTTGTCCCATGAAAAGATAAATTACGGCCGAGTGGGGCCTTAATTAGCCAGATTAACACTACATGTACCCTGTTCTCATTCGATCTCCTCCACTTCCGTTACATTAAATAAACTATAGTGCACCGTCTCAGATGCTACAACACGTCAACATTTCCACAAATAAAATCTACTGATCACAACTACGTTAGGTTTTATTCGTCCAAGTTCGCACGCAGATCTAGATCCAGCGGAACGTTGATACCGATAATATTATAAGTGTCATCACTACGTTCAGCCATGCCTTACTGCTCGCGGTCATTGGCGGTGCATTGTGACGACTGTTTTTTAACAGCTTTTTGATTACCCACTAAAACTACAGTGACAACGCTATGAAATTCCAAATTACTAAATATCGCTTATTTTATTTCATATAAATCAACAGCATTTTGCATATATGATTATTTAAATTGGATAAAATATTACAGATAATAATATGATATATCAAATTTGTTGTTTGTATAGGCTACATGTACAGTGCGAATATATCAATGTTTGATCAGTTATCACTTGTTTATGAATTATCAGGTTAGGTGATAATAAAGTTCTTTTTTTATAGTGTGCGAGGGCGCAAGTTATAAATATATATATACATAATAGCTATTAATATACACACATATATTTTTTTCTATTATCTAAAATATTGTTTGTTGCAGTATCTAAAAGGAGGGAGCGAAATGTCCTGAACAACGGATTGCATGAACAAATAACGAGCGGGAGGGTACGTATATGATACATATGATAACAACATTTGCATTTTGGTATTCAAATAAAATGTGTATCATCTTTACTTATTTTCATTGACTTATGAAGCCTCTTCTTGGTGCCCTAGCTCATATATATCTGCCAAGCAAACGTCGATCCACCTGTTTCTGTAATTAAATTACATTCCCCGTTCAATTAATACGACTTAATGACAATTTCGCGGAATAATGACGTTCTCCTTATTTGTTACATGGAAAGATCGATAAAAGCAATTCCTAGATTGTGTTACATGAAAAACAACACAGTTCAAGGTTTTCTCGGATTTCCATTGCAAACGTGTACAGTACGCCATGTTTCAAAAAGCAATTACTCTCATTTCTTTCTTCTTAATTGGAGCCTCTGAAGGCACTTGCTAGAACCAGTCGTGATAATATTAGGTAATCCATACATGTACATGTAGCCTCTTCCACAGCAGAGTTTCGTAGAACTATCGGTTTCAATTACTACAACTCTCTGACCACAGGATCCGCTACTAGCAGTCTGTTACAAAAATTTCGTCTATTCTTTCATTTTGTATGCTACTTTAGAGGCCCCTGATATCAGAAGGCAGTTAACAACTGTGGCAGTTCACTACTTTCCTTGCATACAAAAACATATTAATGAAATAACGGTCTAAAAGAATTATCTACCTAGCTTATTGGAGTGACGTATGAAATAGCAAAGTGTTCTACGGTCCATAACAAAATTACCAATAAAGATCGAAGTAATACTGTAAAAAAAGTGGACAATGATAATCATATAACTAGAAAAGCACTCAGAGAACGCAGACCTCCGCCAAGGCAGCAAAGTCTCCATCCAATGCCGTTTCACCCCTAAATTTGAGATATTTTTGATTATTGATTGATTATTGATCCCGATCACCACCAAATACTAATCACTTCTAAGTTAACCCATTTCTGACCTACCCTGAAAATTCCATCGAAATTCATCAATAACTTTTTGAGTTATGTTGATGACAAACAAACAAACAAACAAACAATCAAACAAACAGGGTTGAAAACATAACCTCCTTGGCGGAGGTAACAAAGCAAGTTTGTTAAAGAAAATGTATTGTTTTGTATGATTCCCTCCACTTATTCATATCACATCGTTGTACCGCAAAGCCAGAACAATTCCCAAGGCGGCCAAAGTACAGCAGATTCCAAGAAGTCCTATGAGAAAGGAGGCCACCTGTAATCTCTTGGAATGGCGAAGGTTACGCTCAGATGTCTTTAGTCTAGTCGATGTACCTGAAACAAATATAAAACTGCTAAGACTCATGGGTAACCTGGATTTGCTAGGGTATAACCGACAGGAAAGCGAGATTGATATGAGAATGTATAAAAACATACGTCATATTTATAAATAATCTCCTATAAAACCACATCCGAAACCAGAACATATTGTGTTAATTTGGGACATTTTTTCACTATTATTTTTCATTCTTTCTGCTACATAAAAGAGTCGTATCTTTTTTCATGCACTGTTAAAATACACGCATATGTACATGTGTGTGTTGTGTGCGTCCATTAATCATTTATCATTTCCATGGTTTCCATGCTTCAACCACGAAATGGTTAGAATACTCCAGATTTCCCTAAGCGACTACTGTAATCGGAAATGTGATAAATTTATGCGGTTGTTTTGCAACTAGAATATAGGTCTTCGCTCTTCCCTATATTTTACAACTGTATAGAAACTAAAGAATGTGGATGTTCGAAACACCCGCGCGCGCGCGCGCGCGCACACCTACACACACACACACACACACACACATGCACACACATGCTGCACATCGTTTGGCACTCGCGGATTTTTTCTTTCTCGTTGTGAAAACGTAATTGTAGATGGCAATCACTTCTATATTAACATCAGTGCTATTGTATCAAACATTGAGTTAATTAGCAAATATATTCACAAGTTATCTTGGTAATCTTAATTCAGGGAAGGATTAATTGGTTGCATTTACTTACATAATAATAGCAAAGAGAATGCTCCACACAGAGGGTTAATAAGACAGGAAATCGATCCCATGATCACTTGGGGCTTCGATAATCTTTGCTTTGATTTCATCTCTTTGACGATTGGGAAAGGAAACGTTGTGGATTTATAGGGAGGACTATATACTCCCAACTTCCCTAGTTCTTCCATTTTTATATCAGCACTAATTTGCCCGGGACTTGTGACGTAGTTTTGCGAATCCGTGTCTGCGCTTGTTTTGATTGGTTCGTTCGAATGAGGTTTTGATGACAGCCCGCTTCCTGTTATTGTCCTTTCTTCATTTGTGATATTCAGAATTGCATAGTTCTCAGATTCCATTTCCTGTTTGTCATTGTTAGTCGACTGTTTTGTTTGAAGGGGTACTGGATTCACTGTCTTCATGCACGTAGTGGTACAAGTTGGACTTTCAGAAAATCCCATCGCGTCATCTTCATGTATCTTCTGCTTAATCATTGCCTCAAGCTGAAACAAAAATTTAAAAAAAAAACGTAAAAGGTAAAAAAAGGCTTTCTAAAGAGCTAAAAGTTAATTGAGGTAAATGAGTAGCCTTATATAACTCTAACAGTGTATGTCAATTTTCTGTTTCTGTGTATTCTTCTTTTTTTTTTCTCCATTTTTAGGCTTTGTAGCGGTACTCAAGACGTACCTATGTACCGGTAATAGACGTACCCCCCCCCCCCCCCCATAAACTGTCCTCCTGCACATCTACGTAGGCATATTTTATTTATAGGTTATTCGTGGAGAAAAGTCAACTGGATTCCATTAACTGGTATAGTTGCTAACCCCTTTCTCACACAACGGGTCAATTGTTTGGACCCGGAATGAAAGTATCACCGATGAAAGCTCTTACAAATGAGGTATTCCGGATATGAAGAGCGGATTTATTTAAGTAACTTGGCATCCTTCAGGGATGGTCTTGTACATTTTTAATAATTTGAAAACATGTTTACTTCGTCCCGAACGAAAAGGATCTTGTGGGCATGGTAACAGCTCAATCTCTGATGTGAATTGATTCTTTATTGTATTAATTGGCACGATTTCTGGGTAATTTCTTACTGTCAAAGCTGAGCTGAGTTAAGTGACATTATTTACAGCTGGATACATTTTTCTTTCATTGAGTCCCACACACATGTACTGACAGGTGTGCACCAGTACGTAGTTGTCGGGGATAGGCTAAAGCTTCTCTCTGACCACAGGATCATCTGGTAGTCTGTTACAAAATATGGTATCGCCTTCACTGTCATTTTGTACACTTATTTAGAGCCCCCCCCCCCTCCCACACACACACACACACACACACACACCCCGTGATATCAGAGGTTAGGTTAAAACCCTCTACCAGGTCCATTGATTGATTTTTCACTAGATATTCACAGATAATATCTCTGGCTTAATTTGGTAATCTTCTAACTGGTTGGTGGAAAATGTGCCTATCTGCCGCCCTGGTGGAGGGTAGGTTAATGCAGTTTTTAGTCATTCAAAGCTTCTTACGTGACTGTACTAAATTCTTTTAAGTACACTCAGGGCTTCAGCCACGGCTCAATGTTTTATAGATGTACAGTACGACACTCTGCAAAATTTTATTAAATCCAGCACTGCCACCGTTTTCCATGGTTAGCGACTATTATGCCTAATATTTAAATATTTTATTGTCGGTAAAAACAGTATCCCAAGAATACAAGCCTTCAGTTTTTCACACGAGGCGTATTTGTATGATGTGTTTGAATTCCCAATAATAAACCGACAGTTCGAGAACTTTTTTTTTTTGCTTTCTATTGATCTAATTTACACGTCGTTATGCCACTGTATACTTACATGCTCGCCTCTTCCCAGATGAATCCTGCTTTCATGTTATGTTGAATCGTTCCGGTATTTATGTGTTAAGTACTTCTATTTTGCCGCAAACAGGATATCCCAGAAGACATAAATAGAACAGTTCCAGGAAGTAATATTCAGGTCTTAAAGTGGTAATGGACAGATATCAATGGCGTATATGAGTGAGCGGACGTATGTTGATATATTAGTATTAGCAAGCCATTATTCTTGATTATTTCAATAATGTACTGGTACAACGCACGGTACAGTAATCGTTATTTGCTCATTCGTAAGCTGTGATTAACCGATCACGGTCTTTTCACATACGGTACATGTAGATCTCTCTCTCTCTCTGATTCTAGAATAGGAGAAGATTGGTGAGAAAATTCCAGATAGGAAACCTTATAAGTAAATAAATTTTATGAAATGGCCACCTGCGGATGCACCATGAACTGAAGTAGAAAAAATGTCTAAAGATTGAGACTAATGTTTAGAATAAAATTCTTTTATAAAGCCAGTCTCATGCAACCTTCTCTTCAGCAGTATATTTGAAACCTGATTAACTTTGACCAGAAATCGACTAAAACGCGTCACCAGAGGATCAACTCAACTCAAAAATATAAACCCATTTTATTCATCTGGTCCTTTTGCGCATGTAAAAGTTTAACTCGTTTTAGACAAATTTTCATCCAACTCATACTAGTAAGTTATAATTTGGGAAAGAAAATTAACAAAATCTTGCATGCTGTCGATTTTATTTTTACCCAGAAATATTGCACAAATTACAAATCAGAGCTTTTAGTTAAATTGGCACAATATTGTGTATGTAGAATTAATACGATATTGGTTCAATTAACATATTCGCATGTGTTTTCCTCTTCAAAACGAGGTCAGCCAGAGCCTCGTATTCCTTCCATGCAGTGCTGCCCTCTCCATGGATGGGAAAAATGGGATAGGTTTGACGGAGAGTGCCTACCCCGGGAATGTTTGGCAACTTCATTCTTATTCCGCCTTTACTCACGCTGCGGATAACTCCCTTCGGATCGAGGACGCCCTTTGGTTTTGCGTCGCCATACTGAAAGTCGCACGAAAAACATCTACTGTAGGTGAAAGCCATTACCATTTAATGCAGATATAGACTCAGCGGGTGACGAACGTAAGCGAAAATTACAACGTCTTCATTCGAATAAATCAATACAAACAGATAAAGTCATTCATGAAATACAACGCGTTTAAAAAACAATCGATGAGACAAGACCAAACGACAACTGCCATACGCTTTTTTTTTGTCAATCTCTTACTGATACATGTAGCTTGATCTCATAAAAATTAATTGTCACTGAAAAGTTTTCTGTCATATTTAATTTTGCAGTCTTACAAGTCATTATTAGTTATTAGCTTATAAATTGTAGCCACACGCTAAATTCCACTAAGCGACAAACTTATTTAAGTATACCTTAGAGCTTCCGAAAAATTCACTAGGCGTACTGTAGTAAACGTATTCGCTGATCCCGTTGTAGGCTGTGGAGTTTGTAAACCTGCCTGTTCGCCCTTTGTCGTATACTGTTTTGTCATCATAACCTAATTAATTATATATCAGAAACTTTCCTTAATCCCGCTTCTAAGACCCCATTCCCAGAGATTAGATCGATCCAAACTAGATCGACCTAACTCCCTGGGGGTTCACGCTAAATAGCTGTCAGCCGAGCGGGCACAAAAGTTAATTACCCCCTTACAGCTTGTAGTAGGCGGGACGGACATTTAAGCCGGATTATCTGACAGTAATCTAGTGAGACTCCCCACGGGGATATATCGATCTAAATGTCTGGGAATACGCCCTAAAAATCGACATACATGTTCATGTATTAAAGTATTTGCAGAAGTTTTATTACTTATCACTAAATAAAAGAAATTCTTACTAATATCATAATGAAGAAAAAAAATTAAGCGCAAAAATTGGAAAGTATACATGTACTTGTAAAACACACAGGGCAGTTACTATCAGAAATATGACATGAACCTACTCTTCATGTGCATGGTCAGTCCATATGGATTCCAATTAGCCAGTGGGTTAAGGTAGGTCACGAAAAGCGGAATGGCGTATGACCAGCGCTGTTCATAACTTTTACATACTTTTTTCCCTCCAACAAAGTTGCAATCCTCAACCTTCATCCCTGCTACCTATACGAGATTAATACGCCATAAATCATTGTAAAATGAGGACAAGGTAATATGAATTACTGTACAATGCAATGTGTAAATGTTTCTTTATTGCTGTATCTAGAGTGATGTGAAATATATCCTTTCAATTTTTAGTAAGCTCTACTACTGAAATACTTAAAGTACGAGTATCTATATACATCTACGTTTAAATTGACATATCCATGTCTATGTAAACACGTTTGAGATATCAAATCTTGATTCATCCAGTTGTACGTGGACATGTACTACATGTAATGTAGTACAGCTGGTATGAGCTCCATCTGTACGTCAGTGTCTAGCATGTCATTTAATATTCCGTTCCTAAATGTTTGGGACATATTTCTCAAAGGCTCTTGTATTTTAATTATTAAATCCCCCCCCCAAAAAAAAAATAAATAAATAAATAAAAATAATAATAATTAAAACAAATAGCACTGCATGTATTTCAAACAAATCAATGGTAGGTTTCAATTAAAACCAACTGCGTCCATTAACGGCGTATTAATTCCCATATCAGAAATCTCTTGGAAACATTTCAATTTCAATTATCCAAAAATTACATATCACTTAAAACATTAGGTCCTACCGACGGCTGTGATGTTTGTGCCATGAAAACTGTGTTGTCAGAGAATCCTCTGTGGCGAGCTTTAAGACTTCCGGTTCCGGTCTGTGAGACCTTTGACCATCTGTGGTAAAACGCGGTGTTCAGCTGGATAAATGGATTGGAAAAAAATTAAATGTATTCATGAGAGCTAGTATATCCCCAACTAAAAGACATGTTCTAAAGGAGAAAAAACTGAGGGTGCTCTTTCAAATAGGTAGATTTTGAATCCCTAAATTATTTTCAAAGTATTATCGATGGCTCTATTTTTGTCATGTGAAATATTAGTAGTGACAAGAGCATAAATATGTCAGGGGACTCCGAAGACCATCTAGACCATCAACATTAGACTTACAATTCAAAGGGGGCACGGTTTTGAATATGTCTTTACTTCATTCTCACCTTGGCAGCATTGTTGTTGGTAGCGGTAAAAGGGTGGGTTGGTTTGGAGAACGAATCGTCATACAACTTTCCGTCGTAGTTATTTGGACCTAGGAAAAAGAAAAAATGTCAGGTGAACCAAGAAAATCTTTATCCGGCAACTACCAACTATAAGTTCCCAATCGAAGCAATCAGGTGGCTTTTAAAGCATACACTGGCTTTTAAAACATAGGTGACTCTTTAAAGCTCTTTAAAAAAAAAGCGCAACCATTGCAGAACGGAAAGGCGAGCACCTACAATTCAAAATAGTGAACTTCGCCCATTTTCAATCACTGAAATTGGGGCTGCTTGGAGAACATATTTTTGTCCACTCTCACAAATAATATGCCACAAAGGAAAAGGCTGCAATATTCTAAATTGAATAACACTGACAAATTAATTTGGTTTTGTCTATCAAATATTGTCAAAGCCCCAACGTTGAAGGGGTGAGGGCGAGCGAAATTCTTTCTCTGAGTGGTCACAAGATCGGTGTTACAGGGACTTCGGATATACTCTAAATTTAATCTACATAATTGCCTTTTTTCATGGCCATTTCGGCAAAATAGGGAATTTATACGGAATTCACAATTTTAAAATTATCTAATTCTAGTTGTTCTGCAAATGTCTTTATCCATTAAAAAAAAAGGACATTATGTTGATAAGATGTGGTGCCCATGTTTGTTAAAATCACACAATGTATAAGACCTTACTACAGCGAGCAAAAATGAATAATTCTGGAAAATCTCAGCATGGTATGCCCTATCCAAAACCAATGAGAAAAAATTACGAGTTATAAACCTAATTTTATTAATTTCTAATTTATACCAGGCCCCAACTCCATTACAGGAGGGTTTTGTTACGCAACCTACCCGGGACCTGAGACATCAGCTGATCGAGAAATTCATAATCGGAGTCGTCGAACTCTGAATTTGCTTTCCATGGCCGATTCAGTGGGTTAAGCTGGAACCTGTGGATTTGTGATAAATATATAATTCTGATGTAAAATGTGCACAAAGATAGCTAACAAATTTGTTTGGCTACTCTCTCTCTCTCTGTGTGTGTGTGTGTGTGTGTGTGTGTGTGTGTGTTGGCGATATGCAATTTCAGACAATTTCAGATTGAATACCTGCCTGTCCAGAGTCCTAGTAGCTTTTGGATATACCTGCTAGTGCTTTATAAAAGAATTGTTTGTGACCCCCAAATATTCAAATGAATTTTAATTCATCATCTATTTAGCAATACTCATTTAAATTTTGCAAACTACAACGTGTACCACCTCTGTGGCTTTGTCTGAATGACACTGAACCTTAGCAATCAATATAGAATAATGCCCTAAAATTTAATAATCTGAAAGTGCAAATTAAAGAAACGGAGAAGGGAGTGTCTGACTTTTTCATAACAACATGCACTAACTTGGCTATATCACTACGTGAGAGTTGAGCCAGAGTCAATTTCCTTGCGGTCCGTATACTCAAGTCATCAGCAACGCGGAAGGTACTGGTGGGGATGTCTTGAGTCACCGGGTGACACAAAACTCTGTAGTCCCAAGTAGCAAACACGGGTTTACCGTTCTCAAAGTCGACGATAGACGTTGGTCTAAAGGTATGTCTGTAAGATTTAAAAATGGCATATCAAGCCATGAATAGATATATTTATGTCATACTTGAGGGGGGAGGGGTTATCTTAATGTATGTATTTTCAATGACAATTTCTTTGTACAATAATATATTAAAAAGTTTAAAGATATCGTATTTAAGTTAATATCTAAAAGACATATTCAAAAAGAACTGGAATACTTAAACCGAATTTTTTAAAGACTCACCTCTCTACTGGAATGGCTCCGCTGTAGGCTTGGTACCGGGCGCGTTCCTCGTTGGATAAAAAGGACCTTTAACAAAAAAGTTAATAATAAGCATAAGACGTTTATTGATTTCAAGGCAACAACGGCTTGAAGCTTCACAAAGATAATAATAGGGATAAATCTTTTTTTTAAATAGTTATACATGTACTTAAAATAAGATATATTAATATGTTTTCTAAAAGCTGGTAAAACGGAATTTGCAATGTTCAGGATGTTAGGTGAACTTATATTCCAGTGGCAGTTAGGCCGTTTCGAAAGCTTTAAATATATTACAATTAACAATGCTTGTCTCTTTTTTTCTGAAAAAAAAAAAAAAAAACGAATGTGTAGACAGAATCTATTTACTGTGAAAAAGGCAGTTTGTCGTCTCCTTGACTCTTCAGCCATTTGCCTTCAAGGTAGCAAAGAATAGGTTTGAAGTACTTTCTGTAATCCCGCACTTTGTAATTCTGGTCCCTCCAAGCCTTGAACCATTCTTTCATCTCAGCGACCTGCTCTGGCACAGTCTTTTTGGCTAAGACCTACAGTAAAAGCTTGGGTGTCTGTTAAACGATATACGACCCAAACACGCTGGATTTTAGTGTTAGGCAACATACCTCATGTTAGCTAAATAGGCATAGTAACGTTACCAATTTGGTGTTTCTTACAGAAAGAGACCTTAAATTATAGAAGGGGTTTGATGAATAGCAATATGCGAAATAAACATAAAGGCTAGATATACTAGCTAGTAATTATAGCTCTAGAAAAACACCTAAAATCGAAAATTAACCCGATGGCCCACGTTGGCATGATAAGGGTTCATTCAAATAGTAAAATGAGAACTAGAGTGAAGGTGTTACACACAGCATAGATGCCGTGCATAGATGCCGTGTGCGTGTGTCAAAACAATTAAATTACCTGTGGCGGCACTGCCGGCAGAGGCAGTCTTCGGAGTGGACTTTTGAACGTTTGACCAGGCCTGTACAATACTGTTTTTTGAGAAGCCATGCGAAACTCAACTCCGTTGATCACGGCACTGGTGCCAGTCGTGCCAAAAGAATCCCTTGCCTGGGTAAATGGATAAAGGCCGCCTGCCACCCAACTCACGGTGTGGCCTGAAAGAACCAATTTATACTGAACAAAAATATAAACGCACGAAACTAAAATGGTCAGTTGAAATGGATAACCATGACATATGCCCAGTTTGATGATTTATATGTGAACTGATGAATTTGTTTTGATCAATTATAGTGGTCTGGTTTCACTTGGCCGCTCCCCGTGAGTATACTCAAAGGTTCAGGTTTTACACCCATAAGACTAATGGAGCATGGCGGAGTAGAGGTCAATCTGCAAGACCAATACACAGACACTCTCTACCGTATAGGCAATAAAAGGACACACCAAAATGTGTATTTCTGGCACTTGTCAACATGCCACAGATGTCTGGAACCATGAGGGAGCATGCCATCAGCATGCTCAATGCTGGCTTGTCAGTAACAGAAGTTGCAGCATGCCTGAATGAGCATCATTCCACTGTCAGCCGTCTGGGAACACGCTTCAGAGACACTGGTAGCATTAGGAACCACCCTCATGCACCATGTCGCCCAACAAACACCTGTGGAATGTTCTGGATCAGAGTTTTCAGTTTCCAGCTCTCGAGAATGTTCGCCAACTGCGAGTAGCACTCCAGAAGGAATGGGATAATATCCCTTAGGCCTCTATTGACAACTTAGTGATGTCCATGCGCCGCTGGTGTACTGCTCTGCACAAATTTAATGGTTTCTGTGAACTCAGGATGTTGACCCCCATGGTGTGTTTGATGCCCTAACTCTTGGACTATGCATTTAAACTTCCCCTAATGCTCTCAAAGTGATGTCGATTTGTCGAGAAAAATATGCTGTTAATTTTGGCTATATACTCTAGTTCCATATATGAAAATAAATCTACATATTCTTTCGTGCGTATATATTTTGTTCAGTATAATATCGATCGAAAAAAATCTCCCTGCTCCTGCGAACATTGTGCAGGTTTTGCGACATTTCTTAGAGAAATCCCATGTGTGTCCTTTGTGTCCTTTGGGCAACTTGTCTTGTGCAATCTACAGCAACGAGCACTGCCATGGCGCCTCAAAGGTTGACGCGCAGAATAGCAGCTGCCTTTACGGCACAAATCCCCGACCAATTTCCCACATTTTCTCTCTCTCTCTCTCTTGTGAAATCATATAACAAATACAATTCTTACTGGAGTACTACATGTATTTCTTACTTGATGTATGGTATGGCCTTGTTCCAATGGTACTCCATCTCGCCTGTTTTATTCCTGATCCGCCGTCTGTTCGTGTGCGTTCCGCTATGAACATCTGCTGGAGCTGGAGCTGACGCAGTAAGATATCTACTTTCTGCGTCAGTTTTTGCAGCTTTTTCTCACACACGGTTGGGGTGGTAACTGCCCTCTTCTCTGCGAGTGCGAGACCGCCGAGGTATACGGCCAATAAGGCTAAAAGCACCTTCTGTAAGGTAGACAGGCACTTTTTAAAGGGCCATGTCTTTTCAACAATTACGTTTTAATACCGTTAAATCAACATACACATATGGAAATTGTTGGCTGTTTTGTAAAAAATATTCTTATTCTTAAAAGAATTATTTGTAAATAACTTGTAAAAAAATCTATCGTATCTGTATCTATCGTATCTGATACTATTGGCCTTGCCAAAATATTATGTAAATATTAAAATAGCCGTTGCACATAAGACATACGTGTACCAGTATCAAGTTGCTCCTGCTGCAGTATACTTCTTATATCTAAGTTTTCAATTTATCGATAAACAGTACATGTACTTTATCAGCATCATAATAACAACGAACTTTATAAATGAAAACATATCAAAAGCTGTAAACTTTATAGGCCCGATGCAGACGTTATTTGGTTTCATGTTCATATCAGCATTTTACCGATTTTCTTTCAATGTCAATGAAAAACATGAATCTTGAACGCGCTATTTTATGAGCTATTGAAAATTTAAATATAGTATGGAATATAGCAAGAAACCTACCATCTTTGGAAAGACCTACGGCACCCACTCAGTGACACTCCGACTCTGTCGTTCTCACTATATCGGGGTTAGGGGTTGAAAACCGTGAACCCCTGGACGAATTTAATCTCAACATCATGTTTTACGAGGGTCGTGCAAGGGAGAGGGTTTACCAGGTCAGCGAGAGCCTCGTATTCCTTCCATCCAGTGTTCCAGGAATGTCTCACTGACCCTGTATATATTTGACATATTTTGAGCAGTTGTATTTATTTGTGTATTTATTGTGTTTGGAGAATTACAATCTATAAACTCGTTTTTGTTAAAAATTTTTCATTTATAGCATCACGAGTGAAATTCACAGTAAATCACGTTTCAGTTGGACATGTTTCTCAGCAATGGTTTTACCTGCCGTCGATTTCTAGTAGTTTTGATGTGTAGCATTTTAGAGAACATAAACACTGAGAAACAATGTATCATTAGGCTGTCTCCCTAAGAAGACTCTCTTTGAGTACACTGTTATCTGTCCCAAGCATATGTTGGTCCTCGCATGCATGATGTTGAGATTAAGACCGCCCCCAGGCACACCGTTTTCAACCTCTAACCACATGATAATGCCGTTGACAGACTTCGGTGCCACATCGGAAAGATAAAACTGGTTAATACCTCGAACTGTTACTCTGGTGGTTGCCGTATCCTAAGATGGTAGGTTTTTCGTTATCTGACATAAGAGGTATAAGCTGACATATTACGGACATATTAGGAGAAGCACCGGGCTAGAGAAAACCATCATGGAAGGCAGGATGGAAGGCAGCAGAGCGCGTGGCGGGCAATAGTTCTCCAACATCCAGAGCTGGATGGGGATGCGGACGAGGGAGCTAGGTGAATTGGCGATGGATCGTGGTGCCTTCAGACATAAAGGCGCACGATACCTGACGACGACGACGACATATGTTTTACTTTTGCAAAAACTGATACTTAAAACAGCGCGCTCAAAACTGTAATTTTATTGATTTTAAATGAAAATCGGTTTATTGTGCACCATAATTCTATAAATTGAACAACGTTTCATATGTTATTATTTCATAAAATAAGGATGCTTCATGTGGTGTTATATGTCCAATGATTATTCATAGACATTTTTTTTCGGCAATGCAAACAGTATTATATACGGTGAGCAATATATTTTGCACAAAACAGATTTAAAATGTCTCTGTTAAACGGCACTAAGATATCATAAACAAAAGTTTTTAACCAATTTCAGAAGGTGCTGTTGGCTCTATTGGTCGTGTGCCTCAACGGCTTCGCTCTCGCAGAGAAGAGGGCAGTTACCACCCCAACCGTGTGTGAGGAGAAGCTGAAAACACTGACACAGAAAGTAGATATCTTACTGCGTCAGCTTCAGCTCCAGCAGATGTTCATAGAGGAACGCACACGTTCGGACGGAGGATCAGGTTTAAAACAGGCGAGATGGAGCAATATCGGAACAAGGCCATACCATGCGTCAAGTAAGGATTAGCATATACTGGTATACAGGTACATTTTATTCTCTCCTAGTCACAAAGGAGACAGGCAAAAGGGAAAGAAGGATCTTTCGTGGCAATCCTTGGGCCACAATGGAGATGATAATTGCTATGAGTTGCAGGTGGGGGCAGGGGGGGGGGGCAGACATAAAGTTTAGTGGACGCGCAGCTTCATCGTAGCCCAACAAAAATCTCTCAAAGAGTAATTTTAGTCGCAGAAGAAGAAGGGTGGCACGAAAAAGCATTAACTCAAAAACAGGATTTTTTATATCGAGGCTAAAAAGGATAGAAAGTCCTGCTTATTTGTATTATTATTGTTTACATATTTGTTGCACCTGCACAAAGGCGTTGTAGGGGGCTTATTATGATTTCGATCTACATAATTTTCTTGCCTCTTTCAGGTCACAGCATGAGTTGGGTAGCAGGAGGTATTTACCCACATACCCAAGCAAGGGACTATTTCGCCACGTCAGGCACAAGTGCAGTGATAAACGGAGTTGAGTTTCGCATGGCTGCCCAAGGACTAATGATGTACAGGCCTGGTCAAACGTTCAAAAGTCCACGCCGAAGACTGCCTCTGCCGGCAGTGCCTCCACAGGTTAGTTGTTAAAGCCGCCTGAACGGCGACCTTTTTACGCCCCACATTTCAACCCAGTTTGAGATTAAGAAAATACTTAACGTGCCGCAACTGGCCGATCATTAAGCATCCATTCTGCAATCAAAGCGATGTACCTTGTGCTACGACCACAGCGATGCCAGTTTCATGGCCGCGAAAAGGACGCAAAAAGGACGCCGTCCAGTGTAAAGGGGCTTTAGATGTGACCAGGATACACCCGACCGGGAGTTGTAGCTTGTGACACCTTTTATTTTTGATATATTGTGAAGACTATTCTTCTTCATTTATACTATTATAATGAAACCTCATGACACCAGTTTTAGTTTTACATCTAACGTGGGACATCTTCGTCATTTTTTATCTTACGGGTTTAAGAAATAATGCAATCTGTCATTTTGATGCCCATTATTCCGTCATCTATTAAGCACTTACACAGTTGTAGCGTAACTACTGGGGTTGGCATACAATCATCTTAATTATATTTGAAACAATTATTAGGTAAATTTAGTTTAATCAAATAGTGCTAAATACTTGTAGCAGTCCAGCGTGCTTGGGTCGCATGATCGTTTCACAGACACCTGTCATGTCTTAACTATACATATGCAGGTCTTAGCCAAAAAGACTGTGCCAGAACAGGTCGCCGAGATGAAAGAATGGTTCAAAGCTTGGAGGGACCAGAACTACCAGGTGCGAGATTACAGGAAGTACTTCAAACCTGTTCTTTGTTACCTTGAAGGCAAATGGCTGAAAAGTCAAGGGGACGACAAACTGCCTTTTACACAGTGAGCAGATTTTGCCCACCTATTAAATGGCCACAGCAACGACAAGAACGGTCAATTGCAATTAATTCAATTAATTCGAACTTTACAATCTAACTACTATGCTCCTAAGAAATATTTTTTCAATGTATTATCTATCAAGTTGTCATGCTTTATATTAATGTGAGAGTTGTTTGATCGTGGTTAGCGACTTTAATCTGAAATATGTTCTTACTTAATATGCAAATTCAACCTTTAGAGAGCCGTGCAGAAGTTGAATTTAAATTGCAGGTATACCCACAAAGTTCATTCCATTTTTAAAAAGTTAAAATCAATTTTTAAAACTTATGTAAAGAAATCATATTTCGCATTTTATTTGTTTAAGTTCCATCCTAACCAATTTATTGGTGTTACTCCAATCTTTTGTTGTTTTGTGTTTGATAAACATATTATACTTTTTTATAGGTCCTTTTTATCCAACGAGGAACGGGCGCGGTACCAGGCCTACAGCGGGGCCATTCCACTGGAGAGGTAACTAGCATTAATTTTACAGAAATTCTGTTGAAATTTTCCAGTGTATTTTGAATTAATCTATACTATTGCACTTAAATATATTCAAGTACATGTTTGAAATCCTGTGTGGTGTCTGATCTATAGGTTTGTTTTACTTTGTGAAATATTGTTAAATCATGTAGATTGTTGCGATGTTGTTGAACGAAAATTAAAGCTAGTAAACAGAAATAAATCATAAGACGTGTTTTCCTTTACAACAGGAGTGTCTATTCAATCCATTTGCATTAAGGTTCAACATGAATTAAATCATTTGACCTATTAGGTTGTAAATTTATTCAACGACAAATGTCCATGAACCACGTTAGTTTCGGAGGAGTCATGGTGAACCCTTCTCCCATTCCCATCCCGTTTTCAGATAATTTATCAATAGGACAAAGCGTTCCGCAGAGTACCCAATGGACACGAAAACCGTAGGTGGTATTTGTTAAAGATACCAGTTGGGGTAATTTAAAAGCAACTGTCATTCAAATGTCATTCAAATGTTTTTTATAAGTGCTTTACACACACAAACCCAGGACTTGATATACATGTACATTTTATAATCTTACAGACATGCGTTCAAGCCGACCTCTATCGTCGACTTTGAGAACGGTAAACCCGTGTTTGCCACGTGGGACTACAGTGTTTTGTGTCACCCCGTGAATCAAGACATCCCCACCAGCACCTTCCGCGTTGCTGATGACTTGAGTATGCGGACCGCAAGGAAATGGACTCTGGAACACCTCTCACGACAAATGTTCGCCAAGTATGTCAGTGCATATGACTTTGGAGAGTTAGACGTTCATTTGCGATATATTTAGACATTGTTTTGAATTTAGTGCTAAGCCTTAATTTAAAAGGTAATGATAAATGGATAAACGGTAAAGAAATGTCAGTTTGAAGTAATGTACGTTACAAATTATTCCTACATAACGTAGTAGTAGGTATATCGCAGTCATAGTCATAGTCAAAGAAACTATTGATTATCGACAGGCTTGTTTCCAATTTGCCTTAAATTGCATATCGTCTAGAGAGAGAGAGAGAGAGAGAGAGAGGCGCTATTGGCAAAGAATACTTTTTTTGCACATTTAACATTGGAATAATGTTTTTATACTTTGTCTTGATTTTACAGTTTCCAACTCAATCCATTGAATCGTCCGTGGAAAGAAAATTCAGAGTTCGCTGACTCCGATTATGAATTCCTCGATCAGCTGATGTCTCAGGTCCCGGGTAGGTTGCGTACCATAATAACAAGATGCCCTCAAAATGTTGAAAGGAACAAGCGAACTTCATTCCTAGCGGTATAGACCATGAGATGGATACCGGCTTTTTAACCCCTTGTTTTTGTATGTTATAGTGATATATATATATATATATATATATATATATATATATATATATATATATATGTAGGCTCACGCATTCATTTTGCTAAGTTAACTTGACTTCTTTTCACCAGGTCCAAATAACTACGATGGAAAGTTGTATGACGACTCGTTCTCCAAACCCACACACCCATTTACCGCCATCGACAACAAGGCAGCAAAGGTAATTTAAGAACGAAGAAAACATCATAGTCAAAACTTGAAATTAAATATCGCAACTTTATATTGCAACTTTGTTGTGGCTTTTAATTTAACAATGAATCTGCAACTAAATGTCTTTGGATTTTTATGCTTTTATCACTGCTAGCATGTTCATTTATGATAAAAAGCTGAGCATTTAAATGAAATGACACTTTAGAAATGATTGCTGATGACTTTTAATGAATATTTTCCCAATCTATTCATTTAGCTGAACACCGCTTTTTACCACAGATGGTCGAAGGTTTCACAGACCGGAACCGGAAGTCTAAAAGCTCGCCACAGAGGATTCTCTGACAACACGGTTTTCATGGCACAAACATCACAGCCGTCGGTAGGGTGTTATGGTTTCAACGTTATTTTATAATATTTTTTGGGGTGGGGGTATAATTGATGTATAGGAAAGAATGTTGCATATGGAAATCAATATTGTTGAGGAACCAGTAGCTACCATCAGTGTTTCGATCAGGTGACAAATAATTAGGGACCTCAGGGACACATAAGATTGAATATATATATCTCAAACATGAGGAAGGGAAGTTAAATCACATACTGGACACGTGATATGAATTCTTTTCTCACAGACTTCTTCAAGCAACAGAACCTTTTAATTGTCACTGTTGTCGTGTGGTAGACTTCAACATGAAGGATTTGGTCTATAAGGTGTCTCGCGAGTGTAATTCGATCCTGTTTAAAATTTTGATAAAAAAATTCCGAGTAAAAAAAGCAAGTTTATACCTTGTTACCAATAGGAAGGTCTCTTTTACCTTGGCCTTTTTGACGGGACTGGCTTCACTTCTGAGCTGTATCCATTCGCTCCCCAAGCTTTCCAATGACAGTAACGGTCAAGCTCTCAAGTGAGCAGGCGTCAATTTGACGGCTTCTATTGGCTGGTTAACTCACCATAATGACAGGAGAAAAGTTACAGTCTAAATGTTCAGATCATGGCACATTGGGAAGGAATTAAAGTTAACGGACCCCAGAGCAATTACTTTAGGACACCTGAAGTGTATAACACTCCCAGTATTTAACACTCGCGAAAATTAAATTGCATGTTCATTTAAAACGTATTTTCCTTTGTGGACTAAGTGGTTTACTGCAGAGAGATAGATTGGTCCCGTTGAGGGGTCACGAGGCCTACAAGAGGGGTCACGAGGTCTCCCAAAACCATCCCTGAACAGACATGGCAGACTACGTTTCCAATCACATGCGATATGGGACCGGACTCTGGTGGAAATTCTGTGTTGTTTTTTACATGACAATAATGAGAGTTCAATGCGCCGAGAAAGTCATTCGGGGACAGCATTTGGTTTAGTTTTCCATTCCTTTATTGTTTATAATTGCAAATTAGTGAATTAAGATTAACATTTTGCAATGGTGTCTCAAATGTGTTAATATAGACATATGTAACATGACTTACTGACGTTTCTAAGAGACACATTTCACATCACAAAAGCCACAGCAACAAAGCTGGATTTGGTATTGTAAGGAATATCGTCTTCTAATCCCCATTTTACGGTGATAACAATGACATACCTATACCTAAACTCGTTGTATAGGTAGCAGGGATGAAGGTTGAAGATTGCAACTTTGTTGGAGGGAAAAAGGTATGTAAAAGTTATGAGCAGCGCTGGTCGTACGCCATTCCGCTCTTCGTGACCTACCTTAACCCACTGGCTAATTGGAATCCATATGGACTGACCATACACATGAATAGTAGGTGCAAATGTTGTAAATGTCCCACATGTCTTACATTAGCCAATTTTATGTCCATATACGTAACAGTAAAGTTTTTTTAATGATCTTAATAAAAATTATCATATAATTTTTAGTGATGGGTGAAAAAATCAAAATACTATGGTACAGTTTAAAGGTTGCTCTCTCCCGCTCGCTCGCTCTCTCTCTCTCTCTCTCTCTCTCTCTCTCTCTCTATATATATATATATATATATATATATATAATTAAACCAGGATACAATGATAGGACAGTATACGCAAATGGGCGAACAGGCGGGTTTACAAACTCCACTGCCTACAATGGGATCAGCGAATACTTTTACTTCAGCACGCCTGGTGAATTTTTCGGAAATCCTAAGGTAAACTTGGAATATTTTTGTTGTCTTGTAGTATTTTGCTAGTGGCTACATTGCACATATTATTAAGCCCAGTAAATTGCAAAATAGAATATTACAAATTACTTTTCAGTTGTAATTCAAGTAGATTGAGCTATCTGTCACATTTTTAATGGAATGTTTCTTGTAAAACATTACTGGTAGGTGCGATACTTGTTCAAAATATTGACACGAAAATTAATAGCTTTTGACACCTGACATTTCATCTTATCGGCGATTTTTTGTTTTGTAAACTGTCTGCATTTTATGACGAGTGAATTTGTCTATGTATTTAGCTTCTTTTGAAAGGTGAGCAAGTGATAGTCACTCGCCACCCCTGTTGTTTAAATGATAAAATTTGACATCTCCTATTATACATCTTTATCGCATGGCATTCAGTACGGCGATGCAAAACCGAAGGGCGTCCTCGATCCAAAGGGAGTTATCCGCAGCGTGAGTAGAGGCGGGATTAAAATGATAATCCCAAACATTCCCGGGGTAGGCGCTCTTCGGCAAACCTATCCTATCTTCCCAATCCATGGAGAGGGCAGCACTGCATGGAAGGAATCCGAGGCTCTGGCTGACCTCGTTCTGAGAAGGAAAACACATGCGAATATGATGGTTGAACCCTCTCAGATTTAAATCTGAATCAACAAGATTGTACACAATCAGTATCAATACCATGCAATGTAATTGCGCAATATTTAAGGATGTGAATAAAACTTACTGCAAGAAGTCATACATTGATTTTCTTTTTTTAAACGAAGGATGACGTGTATTTTGAAAAATTAAGGAGAATCGGTCAATAGCGCGTTATACATTGTAAAAACATGGGTTTGTAAGTTAAAGGTCTTCACAAAGTCTGATCCTCTGATGGCGCATTTTGGTGGATTTCTGTTTCAATTTCATTATTCCAGAATCTAAGCTGCACTGTTTATTATTAGGCCCCGAAAACCGAAAAGATAATGAACGACACGATTTGCCCTGCAAATTGACTGCAAATACAGTGTAATGTAGTTTTCAAGGAAACAAAACTTTATAAAAAAGCTTTTATCCAACTGCCACATCTCTTTTTAACAGTAAAATATAGTATTTTAATTGATGACTTATTAAAAGTCAGTCTTATTTCATATTACTTCATTTTGTAAGTCGGTAACACAATTTTCGTTTTATGTGTATTATCACAATGGTTTAACAAACCTTTATTATTAATATTATTATTGGGCCGGTGTAACGCAACTGAGGGTCCGTGTAACAGAAAGTCTGCCCTCCATAAATTTATAATAGTTGGGGTTAGTTTGACCTAAGTGGGTCAAAATCTAGGGCGAGGCTCACCAGCACAAGTAAATGGGAAGTGGAAACTTTGTTAAGGGGGACTCTCTGTTTACGTTACACCGGTTCCGGAAAAAACTTTAACTCGGAAATAAGTCTAAATATTTAGACCAAAAATTTGGTTACTTCAGTTTAATATAAATTCCCAGTTGGCCACTTTTGTAAAGAACGTATTGGCATGAAACATTGGAAATATCTTCCTACGGTTATAAAGCAAAGGCAATAACGACACCCAGCTATTACTTTGATACTAAAGCGCCGAGAAACTAAATACCTCCTAGCGTAGACCGCCTAGTATGAACAATTACAACAACATTAGGCTGTCTCCAAATTGTGACGTTCTTCTAAATAACCGTTATCTGTCCCTTGCACGTGTTGATGCTCACAAAGCATGATGCTCAGATTAAAACCGCCCACGGTTCGCCGTTTTCAACTCCTTTCCGCATGATTATATATGTTTACGGCAGGCAGACGGTGTCACACCGGAGATAAAAGTCGCTACGATAAAATCAGACGGCTGCTTAGTGGGTGCCGCACCCAAAGATGGTAAGTTTCTCGTTCTTTGGCAGATGTTTTATGTTAATAGCTTATAGATCCAAAAAGCGAATTCAAATTCATATTTTATATAACCATTAAATTGATAAATGTCTGTATTATATCGTAAGCACTTAAATTGCACAATGTTTAAAGTACTATCGTTTCATGAACAGGCTGCTGAACGTTATCCACCAAAAGAAAATTCCCTGAAAATGAGCATATGTGCCAATAAAGATCTTTCTTGTTATGATGTTGAAAAAGCATTGGTTATCAGTGAAATGAAAATTTAGATATTAGAAGTATGAGGTTAAAAAATAACATATTTCGCCCTATTTCTATTGGGTATACAGTATTTCAGCAAGGGAGAAGATATCAGTAGATACAAAGCAGATACCATGTTTCTGTTTAATGGGACTATATATAATTGTTTACCTTGCAGGAGGTGCTATTGGCTCTATTGGTCGTAAACCTTGGCGGTCTTGCTCTCGCAGAGAAGAGGGCAGTAACCACCCCAACTGTGTGTGAGGAGAAGCTGAAAACACTGACGCAGAAAGTAGATATCTTACTGCGTCAGCTTCAGCTCCAGCAGATGTTCATAGCGGAACGCACACGAACGGACGGAGGATCAGGAATAAAACAGGCGAGATGGGGCGCAATTGGAACAAGACCATATCATACGTCAAGTAAGAAAAAGTATATACAGGTATACGTTTTTATTGCTATCCTAGTCAAAAACGAGAGAAGGAAAAGGGAAAGAATTCGAAGGAGCTTTCATGCCAACCCTGGGCGACAGATAATGGTTGCTTTGGGTTGCAGGTTGGGTCTGGGGAGGGAGCAGACATGTAGCTCAATGGAGACGCAGCTTAATAGTAGATAAAGCAGATACACAAAACAGGTTTTTCTATATTGAGGCTAAAATGGATAGAACGTCCTGTTTATTATTATTATAATTATTTATTTATTTAATTATTGCTCCTAAGCTGTACAAAGACCGTTGTAGGGCGCTTATGATTTCGATCTAAATTATATTCTTGCCTTTTCAGGTCACAACATGAATTGGATAGCAGGAGGTATTTTCCCACATTCCCAAGCAAGGGACTATTTCGTCACGTCAGGCACAAGTGCCGTGTTAAACGGAGTTGAGTTTCGCATGGCTGGCCAAGGACTGATGATGTACAGGCCTGGTCAAACGTTCAAAAGTCCACGCCGAAGACTGCCTCTGCCGGCAGTGCCACCACAGGTTAGTTGTTAAGATGTGTCCTGGATACACCTTGCAGTGAGTTGTTGCTTGTGACACCTTTTACACTAGACATTTAATTAAGAATATTCGTCTTTGTCTATTAGAATAAAACCTTGTAGCACCGTTTTTAGTTTTAGATTAAACATGGGA